TTAAAATATGTTTTTTTCGCTACACAGTAATAACCATGTTTCAAAAATGGAAGCTAAAAGCTTCGAATTTAATTTTGTAATTAAATTAAAAACATTACTTTCATTTCATACTCAAGCGAATTTTAAAGTAACTTATTTTTTAAATTTACTGAGTTTTAAAGGCACAGAAAAATTCATAATTCACTGTTTCCAAGAATACAGAGATCCAATCATTAAGACAATGGGTGGTAGCATGTTCATTTATATTAACTTTTGTTGTATCAGTTATTAGTTACGTTCGAAAAAGGGTTTATGTTTAGGTAGGGTAGGGATGTATTTTTCAACGAATTCTGACATCCGTTAAATGCATGTCGTCTGGGTTTTTTTAAAAATTTTATTGTTAACGGCAAAAAATTCTTACGGCCTATATATATATATATATATATATATATATATATATATATATATATAAATTGGTCTAAAATATAATTTAGTTTGCTAAGAATAGCTGTTGTTTTTATTTGAACATTAATTACTTTCCGAATCAAAATAAATCATTAACTGTTTTCATTAAATTGGCTTCATTCCGTTTAAGAGAAAAATAAATCAAACAAAATGAGAATGGCTGGTTGGAAAACGTTTTATAAAGACGGAGACTTGCAGACCGCAAAGCACCTGTCCAATGTGCTTTTAATGCAAAGAACATAATGAATGTCTCATGCCAACTTTGATGTACGTGTGCGAATGAAAAATTAAAAAAAAATAGAAGCATAAATCAATCGAGGTGGCAATACTCGAAATAACTACGAGAAAAAGAAATTGGCAAGACTGAAAGACAAAAGTAAACAAAACAAATGCTTAGAAATAATGAAACGTCAAAGATGGAGGCGGGAAGGAGAGATAGCAATGAAAACCATTGACTGAATGTTTCTCATTGGACAGTAGACGGTAAGAAAACACTTGACAAATGATGACGCGATGAGATTGGGATTTTCTTTTGTATGTCTTTAAAGAAAATAACATCCGTTTCACAGAAAGATTTTGAAAAAGGTCTTTCTCTAGCAGTGAACGTGAAATGGCAATGATGATGTCGCCCTTATAGGAGTATCATGTAAAGAATATTATTCATCAGGCAAAGAAGTAAAAAGACGAACAAATAATTAAACATGAATAACGAATGTAACTATTCTTTATTAGTAATGTTCATTAGTATATGCTTTTATCATTGTATTTTAGATTGTTGTTTCACTAAAATGCGACAAGAGGTAACTAAAATAGTCATAACATTAAATACTATTAAATATTAATAATAAAGGTTGACAATGTATCATATAATAAAAAGCCTTGTCGCCTGGGGCTGTAGAATACACTAACTGCACCTCTGCAGAGTGGGGAAGACCGCCATCAATGAATAGTTCTGTGTATAAAAATAAAAAACATCTGGCAGCAAAGCGTCTGGTCGGGAGATTAGAGGTTTTGAAGAGCGTGTACCTACCTCTTCGCTGATGTTCTTTCCAGTTCCAACCTGGCACAGGGTGGTTGCATCTGTTAGGGCCCCAGCTGTGGGCAAATAGTGAAACCCCCAAAATTATATAAAAAAGTTACCAACGATACATATTTACAACAAAATTACCAATAATATATATTTAAAGCACAATTACCAAAAATAGATTTTACAGCAAAATGGCAAACAATATATTTTTTTACAGTAATGTTTCCCCTTTTACAAACCTTCTTGTTGGGAGTCGGTCCCACTGGACAGTAGTGCGCTGGTAGAAGCTGTTTGAGTGGAATGTATTTCTCACCGATGGAATACAGAGTGGGTGATTTGCTACTATGTATGTGACATTGCGTGTCCTTTGCTCTAAAGGTTTAATTTTACGGGGCCACAAAATGTAATTCGTCCGGGTACTTTCCCTGGAACTTCCAGTAGAGCAGCGAGAGGCTTGCCACATCACACCTGTGGGAGAGACGTTGAAGGTTGGAGAATAATTCGTCACCCACAAGGTCTCGGAGACGCTTTTGAACTCTATCAAGAATGGAGAATGAGGTCTGGACAACTCCCACCCAATTACGACAACAGTACTCCATTTTTGGTCTGATCTGGCTCTTGTAAGGGTAGAGTATAGCAGGAGGAGTCAGGTACTGACTGCACTGGCACAGGGAGCCAAGCATTTTATCTGCATTCTCAGAAATGGATCATATTGAGGTCAGGTGTGACTTTGAAGCCCAACAATCTTTCAAAGGCATGGTGCTTCTCCAAGAACAACTCTGTTCATTCTGATTGGTAGTAGTTTGGCGTCATTTTGGTCTTCGAGGCATTGAATGTAACCAGCCAAATTTTTCCCCATTAGGTGTGTGTGCAAGACCAGAAGAGAGATCAGTTGCCAATCTCTGACCATCGAGAATTTTAAAGGCGCGCCCATCATCTGTAGTTGAAGACATAAAACTATGGTCAAACTGTTTAGATTTCGGCATTACATAAACCATAGAGGTAGATATGCCGCTAAACAAAATCAACCAAGCAACCATTTAGGACCACAATATACTTTAAGTAACAGTAGGTACCCCCAGCTATGGGTAAAATAATAGAAGAAACTGGGTCCTATAGCCTTGGGTGACAAGCACTCTAAGAGAAATAAACTCTTATT